AGTGAGTTACAAGACAGCGGGAACTACGGTGTGGGCCACTGTCTCCAAAGTGGGGGGAAGTATCAGAAAATTGCATGTCAACTTATATTTAAGTAGCCATTTAAAAAAAAAAAAAGGTATGTAGTAAAGGAACGTCTGTATTTCTGTCAGAGGGATTAAAGGTATGTATTCCAGTTGGATCATGCAGCCCTCCATCTTTGAATGTGATCCCTCGCCAGAGTAACCATGATACTGTATTAAAATTCCTCTTACAATTAAAAAAAATACAGTAAAATACCTCTGTTTTAGATTTACTTTAAAAATGGAATATTTTACTGATTACCAATACAAGTGGAATTTTGCCAAGTTTATGTAATTTAGTTTAAGAATATCTTTAAACAAGTCCATTGTATTCATTTAGGAAAGGGTTCCTTAGCAGCATAGCAATAAAGGCCATACATACATTGTAGTGATTCTAATTACAGAGTCTTTTCTGAGTCTTTCATTATGTAGTCTCATATGCCAGACTTTTCTGATCGCACTAGTATTTTGGGTGCTTATCTTTTCATTGTTGTGCTGGCTAACATAAAAAGGCAGGCTTCACTTCTGTATTACTGCCTTCAGTGCCTGCTTGACTCAAACGGGTGGAGACATTCCACGTTGTCATGTGTCATATGGGCATTTCTGAAATGACATTCACTAGAAACCATGGAAAGCAGTGAAAGCATTTCTCAGCTGTCACCTTTTTAGTAATCTATTTAAGTATGTTGTATGTATTGAGAGAGAAAGAGTCTGTGGAGAGAGCCTTACTTAATAGAAAGCATTAACTTGAGTATACCTCATAGTGGCCAGATTGATTTTGGGGTTAAAAAGAATTCAAGATTGTGCAAACTGTCACTTTCTGTAGTATTCAATAATACAGAGGAGATTGGATTTAATGAGGTGCCTTCTTAAAGTTTGGTGGCCATGTAAGACATATTTTTTCATGAACCGATTATTAAAATACACAGTATGTATGCATGTGCACATTTATGAATTTTTATGTTGAGATTTTATGATATTTTCTGAATTTTTTGAGATGGAAATACCTTTGCTTTGGAACGTTTGCAGAGCTCGTGGAACATCAGTTCTAGAACATGTTTATGAATATCCTCCGTATTGAAGTATAGTCAGGAAAGTTATGTTTTGAAAATGTTGATCATTTGGAGTTGTACCTGGTGAATAAGATTGCGATAATAATTATGGTACCATTAATCAGTAACTACATATTTTCTACAAAGCTTATTTTTAAAAGTTTATTGGTTGAGAATTTTATACATGCAGATAAGGTGCTTTGATCAAATACAGGCCTTCATTCTCTTCCTTCCAACTCCCCACCTCCACTGTCACTGTTCTCTCCAAATTTCATGTAATCTTTTTTTGAGACCCACCAAGTCTACTTAGTGCTGCCAGTATGTGTATAGATATGGGGCCTTGTCCCTAAAACAAGCCAACAGAAAACTTAGCCTCTCTCTCCTCAGGCAGCTACCAGTTGTCAGTGCTCTTCATCTAGAAGTGGCACTTGGTACCCCCCTCCCTCATCCGTGAGCTTTTTGTCTGGCATGATGTTGTGTAGGCTGTGTGTATATAGCCATAGTTTGCATGAGTTCATGTGTGCGACTGTCCTATCATGTCATGAAAATACTGTTTCACCATAGTTGCCCACTGCTTCTGGCTGTTTTCTGAGCCTTGAAAAGAGGGAGTCTGACATAGATGTCCCACAGTAGTCTTACTCCCAGCACGTTGACCAGTTGTAGGTTTCTGTATTGATTGCCATCACTGCAATAAGAAGGGTTGAGAGATACACTAATCTGTTGGTAGGAAGAATCAGTACTTGGGGAGCTGTTTAAGTCTGTGTCCATTTAGAAGGATAATATTGAGTTCTTCCCTTGGGCATATGACCTGTCATTTAGCCATGGATTCCAGTGGTGCCAGGTATGAATTCCGTCTTGTGGAACAGACTACAAAGCTTATTTTTAATTAGAACATAATCATAAAGTAGCCCTCTGATACTTTAATTAGCTCTTACACTGGGTGTAAATTGTTTCAGAATTTCTTTATAATGAGCTGAGTATATATGTTCTAGTTTTTCCATGAAAGAAGTCAGTATTACACCTGACAGTTTGATATGCATATGTGGTTTGTTCCTAACCAAAGTACCAAGCTTTGGATGTTGTATTTTGTTAAAAGGCATGTTGGTTAATCTGTGTAATTTTTCTTAAAGTTCTTGAACAGATCAAATGTTCAGCAATTTTTGATTTCTTTTAAAGTACAATGGGCAGTCCAGCATAGCTTCTGTCATTTCCTTTAAAAAAAAAAAAAGTTTGTTGCAAGTTAATCCCTTCAGCCATCATTTTTTCACACTAAGATGTCTAATCTCAGTGCATTTATAAGTCATTATAAAAGCTATAAGTCATTACTGAGATTTCAGCACCTTCTGTGCTTGATTTGTTTGTTTGCTTTTGAGACAAGGTTTCATGAAGTCCAGGCTGGCCTTAAACTCCTAATCCTCCAGCTTCTGCTTCTATCTCCATTTTATTTTTAACATGGTTTCTATTTGTGCTTGTTATATGTGCATATTATAGCGAAAAGAAATGTTTAGGTAGTTAAACCTTCTATGGTTTAGTTTAGAACACCTTAGGAGATGGTTAGTGCTAGTCAGCTGTTCGGGATGAGGCTAGCCCCTTAAAAGTCTAGTGTACTCCCTTTAATACAAATATGTGGTCATCTGTAAATGGTATCATACTCAGTTTTCTGGTATATGACTTACTTTTAAAATTGCACATCTTCTTTGTTAATCAGTGTTGATACACAGTTTGCCTTTAATGGCTATACGGAATTTCACTTTGTGTTTCTGAATTTATTTTTCTAATTTGATGAATACTTAGGTTTTTTTCTACTTTTTCATGATATAGCATGCAAATACGCTATGTTCATCTTAACTATTATATTTGGATTGCTTCTGAAAAATGTAATTTAAACTCTTATGTTCTGCTCTAAATGTTAGTGTTTTTTACTTGTTCATAGAAGACATCTTTTAATTAAGATTCTAGTGTATGAAATTTGGAAAGTTGACCTTGAACAGACAGACTATTGATGACACATCTGTTAAACTCGTGGGATGATATCATCCTCCATAAGTCACCCATAGGAATATTATTTTGTTTTTTCATTACTCTATGCAAACGTGTAAAAATCATTGTATTTACTCAGAGAAATAATTGGAAAAAAGACAGGATAAAAGTATTCCTCCTCTCCCACCTCATTTCTTTTTCTCTTGGTATGAATGTGTATGTGTCTGTATGTACGTGTGTCTGTCTGTCTGTCTGTGTGAATATGTAGAAGACGTAGGACATCTCTGGCTGTGGGTGCTCACCTTCTTGGTTTGAGGCGGAGACTCTTGTTTCAGCTAGCATGTCAATGAGACTGGTCTGTGAGTTTTCAGGATTCTCTTGTCTCTGCCTGCCAGGTCCTCTTAGGAGCAATGGTATTTCAGAGGCTCGTGTTACAAATCTGGCTTTTACATGCATTCTGGGGATTTTATCTCAAAACCTCACATTTGCATGGTAAGTGCTTTAACCCACAGCCACATCCCTGACTCGCTTCTTTTCTTTACATAGATTTAATTCTAGGGGGCTGTAGAAATGGCTTAGTGGTTGAAAGCACTGACTGTTCTTCTAGAGGACCAGGGTTCAGTTCTCAGGACCTCCATGGCAACTCACTGCTGTGTGTAACTCCAGTACCAGAGTTCAGTGCCCTCTTCTGGCTTCTGTGAATCCTAGTAACACATTTGTACAAACATTCATGCAGGCAAAACATCCATACACGTAAAAATTCATAATTAATTTAAAAAGATATTTAATTGTAATGCTTTAGATGTTTGAAACATATGTTATTAAAAATGTTAACACAACCTGCATTTGTATAATGCCATTATTTATTTAAATTAGAGGTTAACTCCTTCATGCAACAGATATTTAGATCATGTGTTTGACAGTTTATTATCTCTCGTATAATGTACAGTGTGCTTTTGATTGACATTGTTAACAAATGATAATAGTTCAGTAGCTGAAAAGCCACAGGGTTATGATTTGTATTTTTTAAAGTAGGATTTAGCCCAGAATACCCCCCAAAAAAATTGAGTGATAGGTAATTTATTAATTTATGTCATAACCACTTTTGAACCTGTTTTCTCTGGTTTGTTCTCAGACCTCTTGTTCATTTTCTTTCTCATCTGCTTTAAAAGAACAAATGCTTTTAAGAGTATTGTGCCTTGTTTCATTCATTGCTGTAGTTCCAACTCATTCCAAAAAAAAAAAAATCTCCTCTTATACTTTTTACATTATATTTTTGTTTGTTTTTTACATTACCATTCTTCAACTACAAAGCTAAAATGTCATGGCCATCTGCTGTTTTCTCTTCACCTCTTTCATATAGTCATTCTTCTCCAGTAGGCTTACACCTCAAAAAGTACTTTCAGCTGCATATTATTATTTTTTATTCATCTAACAAATACTAAGAGATAGTCTGTTCCTGTCTTAGGTACGATGTCTATGGCTGTGATAAATATCGTGACCAAAAATAAGGGAGTAGAAGATTTGTTTCACCTTGAGCTTGCAAGGCTGTCACTGAGTAAAGCCAGGCCAGGAACCTGTAAGCAGAAACTGAAGCAGAAGCCGTGGAGAAATAAATCCTGCTTTCTGACTTGCTCTGTCTGCCCGCTTTCTTAGGCCATCCAGGACCATCTGCCCAGAGGTGGCACCACCACAGTGGCTTGGGCCCTCCCACATTAATCACTGCTTAATAAAATGCACTATGGACTTGCCTACAGGCCAGTCTTATAGAGGTATTTTCTCACTTAAAAGTTCTTCCCTGGTGACTAGCTTGTGTCAAGTTGACATAAACTATAAATAGCACAGTTCCGGACACCATTAAGGACTCAAAGAGATTTTTATTTATTTTTTTTTATTTTATTTTTTTAGTAAAACAGATTCCAAGAGTACTCTATTCAATAAAGTGAAGTTAAGTTGCTTAGGCTTCAGAGAAGTGCACATCAAAACTGCAGTGGGATACCTATTTCACAGCCTGAAGAATGGCTGTAATAGAGATAGGAACATGTGGACTAGATATTTGGAAGTTGGAGCCCTTTACACTGCTGGCAGTAATGTAAAACATTTAGCCACTTTTTAAATTATTAAAATGTCATTTATGTGTGTGTTTGAGAGAGGGGGACAGAGAATGAGAATGTGTGAAAAGACTGGAGGCTGCATGAAGTACAATTTTGAAGAATCAGTTGTCTCTATCTAGTGTGGATTGTGGGAATCAAATTCAAGTTATCAGGCTTGCATGCTTTCTCACTGAGACATCTCAACAGCTCCACTTTTGAAATAATCTCATTTCTATACATGGCCTAGCAATTCTGTACTAGATATCTATCTTTTGATTGAAAGTGTGTCCACATAAAAACCTACCTGTTAATCAGCTGATAAACTGATAAAGGGGTTTGTTTGTTTGTTTTGTTATTAGACTCAGAAGCCTATTCTTCAGCAATAAAATGAATGGTATACTGATAAATACTAAAGGTAAAACTATGCCCAATGAAAGAAACCAGTCACAAAAGACCACATGCTGTAAGGTTCATTATATGAAATGTCTCCAGTAGCCAGCTCTATTGAGACAGACAGGTCACCAACTGCCAGGTGCTAGACATGTTGAGGAGAATATGGAGTTACTGCTAGAAGGTAAGGTGGGAAGATGCTCTAAGATATGATGATGACTATTCTGAATACATCAGCTGGGCATGGTGGCTCAAGCATTTAATCACACAATTCCAGAGCCAGAAGCAAGGCAGAGGCAGAGGCAGGCACAGGTGGATCTCTGAGTTCAAGGCCAGCCTAGTCTACAGAGCTCAGTCTAGCACAGCCAAGGCTGCACAAAGAAACCCTGTCTCAAGAAACAAAACAAACAAGACAAAACTGAATACATCGACTTCCATTTCATTGTACACTTTTGGATTATTGTATGTTAATTGTATCTAAGTAAATGGTTGAGTTTTTAAAGCAAAAATGTTTATTTACTACTAAGCAATTGAGGCATCAGAAATCCCAAACCTTAGACCAAACTTGGCATTATTCAGTGTACTGATGATAGCAAACAAGATGGTTAGACAGCATAGCTTACTGTCCGCTGGAGTGTATAGGCAAACATACAGGCAGTCATAAATCTCTCTTCATTATGTATAATCACCTGTCGTGGTAGTACTACAGTGTTGTGGAAGCATGTGAAGGCATGTCTACACGAGAGTCGGGGCTAGGAGAAGGCTTTCTGTTTGAGTTGCTGATTGGCAACTGATTGGCAGGTTGTGAATAAGAAAGGTGTTTGGGAGGCTACTTCAGAGAGAGAAAATAGCATATGCAGAGACTTTTATCTTTATCAATGACACAATCAAATTTTCTCTTGTAGAAGAAAAACAAAACAAAACAGCCTTTGCTGCAGTGTGGACAGTCACTGAGAAAAGAATAAGGCTGGAAGCTGGGGAAGACTTCCAAAGCCGAGTAGTCTGCAAGAAGTGACTAGCTTGAGTTGGGTTAGAAAATAGAGTAGCTAAAGATAGTTAAGACAAGCAGTTGGTAGGCACAAAATAAAAGTAGTAGATTGACTTGAGAGAGTAAAAGTCAAAAAGCCTTTTTAGTCAAATAACCTAGATTCTGATGTGGTTTACAGTGTAAATGAAGCTTCTATACCGTGTGCATGTTGCTTAGCTAAGAGGAATGTGAAAGACTAACTGATGAAGGCAGACAAGAAATTATAGTTGACCATGAAAGGTGTTTGAAAGGATATGTGGGTGTTGTGCTAGTACAGATGAGCATTATTTATGTTCTTAACTATATGTCATGTTGAATGGGGGGGAATTAAACTTAGTTTATTCTGAGGTCTTTTCTGTGTGCTGAAAATTTGATGACCAAATAAAACAATGTATGAAGTTATTGGAAAACCACAGGAATTCATATTCTTAAATATTGTCTCTGTGTGTGTCTCTGTCTTTGTCTCTGTCTGTCTGTCTCTCTCACACACACACACTCAAATTTTCTTGTACATTGTGGTTTTAGGATCTTTTATGATTGGTGAGGTGTTGGGAGCAGGTGTTTTGTGGGAAGAATAAGGGAGTGATTGTAGTGACCCCCGGACTTTGTCAGCTGAGATGATAATAAGCGCTGAGAAAGTAAGCTCGAGGTCAAGGGGAGGCAAGAAGTCAGTTGCTAAGAGCACCTTAGATTTTCCTAAGAATCATACAGTTAGGAATTTCTCCAACCGGATGCAATATCCCTCAGCTCCTAAATGTACCTGTAGTGTTTTCAGGAAAAAAGAAAATACTTCTTATAGGAAAAGAGCTGGCTAGGTTTTTCTTACTGTAATATGTCATTATGATTTTGTTCAAAATATTACTGGACATGCTTTGGTGATTTCTGAGGTTTTTCTTTTGACATTTAAATTTTTTGTTATGGTTGTACAGTTAATGAGGAACTCTGCTCTTGTACAGAAGCTTGCAAACTGTTTTGACCTGAAGCAAGCTCAGCCATCTTGTCTCAGCTTAAAAGAACCAGGAAGTAGTTATCATATATTGAATTCTAATATGCCTTTTTCTCTTTTCTAGCTACCTTTGACCTTTAATCTTAGTTGGGAAATGTGTGTGTGTGTTTTGTGTGTGAAGTGAGCGGGTGACTTGTAAATTACCCTTTCTAAAAACACTTTAATGTAAAAAGGTTATTTGAAAGACAATGTGTGTTATACCAAATGGAGACAAAGTATTTGTGTAGGACAAAATGTAGAAATTACTTTCGCTGTTAACAATGACTAAAATAAACATTTTTTAATCATTCTGTCTTTGAAAGTTTTATAAGCAAAATATAAAAAATTCTTCTGTTCAGACAAGGGAAAACACCTAACTGTCTACTACTGGTAATATTTTAAGGGTTAAATATAACTACTTGGACATAGTTGATGAGTATCAGTTTACTAGTTGATTAAGGTGTTGGTGTTGATGGTTTTGTGCTCATTTCTGAGTTATGCTGTCTTTTCACACTTCTGGTTCATGAGGAAAGGATTGGCAATGTGATAGACACGTCAGGAGAGCTTTTAAGTGTTTTTTTTTTTTTTTTTAAGGTAGCATTAGGTATATTTTGTAGCCATTTATAGGTGGATGCAGATAATTCAGAGACAAGTTGATTACTAAAAGGCAAATGATTTTCAGGGGTATACTAGATTTTAAAAGACTTCACAGTTTTTGCTAATTCCAGCAGAAGAGATGTAAACAAAAGTAAAAAGTCCATAAGGCAGTTTTTAATACAGTGAGTTCTTTTGCTTTGTAAACTATGCGTATAAAAAGCATTTGGTGGTGAATATCCATTTTAAGAATTAATTAGAAAAATGGCCACAAGTCTACATTATTAAAGATGGTAAAGCTTAGAGTGATGTGGATTGTTGGAAAGTATTTTTGACGCTGCTGAAAGAAAGTTCTTGTTGAATTCAGGATCCTCAGAGCCTATGTATAAGGCTGGCTGTGGCAGCATGTGTGAGCAGCCTAGCACAGGGGAGGCTGAGACAAGAGGACCCTGGAGTTACTAGCCAGCCCATCCATCCACAACATAAGCTCCAGGTTCCAAGATCTCAAAATAAGGTGCAGAGCTATTGAACTACAAAGAAGACACTATCAACCTCTCACCTCCACACAACACAGATGTGTACACAACACATGAATATGTATACACCACACACAAGTGAAAGAATAATGTTGAAACTTAGAAATTAGAAGAGGTTTATAAGACCTTTTGCCCCTTCAGTGAGGGATCAAGCAGTTAATGGTTGATGGGAGAAGGGCTGCTATTTTCTTCCGTACTGTAGGTCCTAATGGATTGCCTGTGCTCTTGTAGATAATCCCTATCTATCTTGCAAGCAGCCACTAATTAAACTCAATGGGTCACACTCAAAAAAGAAATTAAAATGGGATGGAGGACTACAGGGAAGGATTTCAGTAAGAAAAGAGAGCGATAGAGGGTAAAGAAAAAAAGGTGAAATTCATTACGTATATGTATAAAATTGCCAAATAATTTTAAAAAGTTATAAATTAGAACAAGAATAGGAAGTTTGCAATAGGATGGGATTTACATGTACATTTTATATGCGTATTTATTTTAGATGAATGATAAATTTCTAATATCCATTGTGTGACAGGTAATTTTGGTAAAAAATTGTATTACTAAATATCCATTTGAGGTTTTTTTAAAACAAGTTTTGTTGACCTTTTCAAAAGGGTTTTTATATTACACTTTCTGTGTTTATGTATGGCACGTGTGCGTGTGTTTATGCCACTGTGCATATTTGGAGGCTAGAGAACAGCTTGTGGGATTTGTTTCTCTTTTTCCATTGTGTGGGTTCCAAGGGTCTGAGTTCCAGTCTAGTGGCCAGTGACTACCCACTGAGCAATCTCGTGGTTCTGCCTTTTTCCTTTTTTGACAAGAGTCAGAAATCAAATGAGAGAAATAGTGCCAACTAAGTATGATTTAATATCGAGTATAGGACTTGGGTAAATAAGATGAAAGATGATGGTATTTATGTAAAATTACATTTCTTAGTTGCCAGATGTAGATTAAAATCATCATCATTGACAAACATGAGAAGGGAATGTATGCAGAGGCAGAGGTTAACATTGGTTGCCTTTCCTTTATTGCTTTCTATCTTAATTTTTGAGACAGTCTCTCTCTAAACCCAGCACACTCACTGCTGTATAGTCTTCTTAGACAACTCATATAGGTCCTTTTTCCATCCTATAAAGTTTTCTTCTTAACCTCACCTGTGATAACTACATTTGCTAGTTTAAAAATTCTTCCTCTATTGTATTGATGAATGTGGCATTAAAGATGGTCTTCATCTGAGTTGTCAAGCTTTCAATTCTAACAGGCTCTTAACATGCTTAAACACATGTGAAAATTAATAGCTTCTTTAGAGGAACCTACTTAGAATAATGAATGAAAAACATTATATTATAGTATTTAAATGTATAATGTTGTTTTAGGCAGCTACATTAGTTTGCATCCATTGTGTAAGGATTATTTCATTATTGCAGTGAACAAAGTGAAGTCCAGTTGTGACTGCTGTGTTGCAGAGCT